TTTTTTTTTTTTTTAATTTTAATTCTATAGGAATGGACCATCTTATGTTTCCTTGATTATGGGTGTAGAATTTGTCGAAAAAATACGTGGTTGAGACAATTGTTTTATTCATTAAAATTGATTTTCTTAATTTGTTTACTTATTTTTTAGGAATATGCTACTTGTACATAATGTCGTGTTCATAACGGTGTACACCCCTTCACATGGAGGGGTGTACACTTTCGATATATTATATTTTATTCGAAGTGGGTTCCCTCCATGTGAGAGGGTGGAAACCGTTATGGACACCCTACTATATACGTATAGCAACGTCCTATTTTTTGATGTCGAAATAGTGGACTGGTGGAAATGTCCTCGGTAAAGCATGTATTGGTAAGTAAAGGACTTAGTACGTACAGACGCGCAGGTGTACTGGACTAACTTGGCCAAAACAACAGATTTTCGAGTTAAAAACTCTCTCTCTCTCTCTCTGGGTATTTATTAGGGTGGGAGCCTTCAGTACTCCAAGACTTGCTGGAATATTCATTCAAAGACGATAATCTTTAGTGACTAAATTAATACATCTTACCTATTTTCTTGCAGTTACTTATTCGGGTAAACCTTTGTTTTCCTTATGATTCTTTTTTTTCTTTTAAAAGTTATAACTTTTGCTTCTTGTAGAAGATCTTCTGGAGGAAAGCTACTTTAGTTTTTATTTGAAAACTAATTTTTAAAAACACTTTCTATTCTAAAAGTGCTTTTAGAGGAAGTCAACCAATTTCTTCTAAAAACTCTTACAATTGGTAAAAGCACTTTCAAAAAATTAGATAAAAGCTCATTTTAACTTTTCAAAAGTCATGTCAAACTGACCCTAATTAAAAGAAAACTCCATGAAATATTCTACAAACTTGTACGATAAAAGATTGGATATACACGTTTCTCAAGTATAGGGAGAGTCCTGCGCCTCTTTCACAGATTTTCGTTCAATGTATTATCGTGTAACCGATCATCATCGAGCAAAAATAGATTCACTATAGAGACGACATTTTGACATGAAAATAAGAACATGGTTTCTTATTTTGATTTGCGAAAGATTTCATGTGCATTTGTAGGAGAGGCAGAAGACCAAGACCCACTTGTTTGATTCCACTCCTCTACAATTCGAAAGGACAACACGTGAAGAGAATGACGAAAAAGTAGGAATGGAAAAAAATCTGACAAACTCGATATCCGCGGGGCCACGATATTCGGGGTGGGGACGGGGCGAGGAATTTTGCCCCTAGGACAGGTAACGGGCGCCCTGCCCCGTTAAATTTTTTTTTTTAGAATTCAATACTTTAAATGAAAATTTTCATTAGTTCTAATAAAAAATAACAATTAAAATTATTTATCTAAATCTAATTAATATAGACAATAAAAATAAATTATCAAAAACTAAAAAAAAAAATTAAACTGATTTTAAACGGTGCAAGGGCCCCACCCCGCCCTGTCTTGCCTTAAATGGGTAACGGGGGCGGGGTAGCGGGGGGGTCATTGCCATCCCTACGAAAAAGTGTCCACGTCTCCGTTTGTAAGAGTAGCTTGAGTTTTTGGCATTTTGGCCACTAAACTTCTTGAAATAAGATTATGAGTCGGATACAACATTTGTTATGAAAAGGACGACTCATGATCCCAAAATTCAGGCCTTGTTTTGATGCCTTGGTTTGGATGCTGTTGTGGGTTAGCATACTTGGGTCGCATTTCGTCCCCTATCCCCGATTTGTCAACGACTTCTATTAATAGGACCTAAAAAGTCAGCTTTTATTACTTTATTGACGACAGTTCACCATAATGACATGTTTCGTGACGCTTTACTGATTTCCATAATATCATAAAACAGATGACGTCTTTGCAGATCAACAGCAAAACAAACAATTAATAGTGTAATGAATGCACGAGTTACGATCACTTTTGAAATGACTTGTCGTTTTACTCAGTACTATGACTTATGCAGGATTATCTGGTCGAAGAAATTGTCAATGCATTAATTCGAAAACAGGGTAAACTGAGCTGTTGTTTAGAATAATTTTCATAAATTTATTGAGAGAGTTATGTTTTATGCACACCCGAGGCTTATCTGATACAACCGTGTGCCTGAATCAATTCTGACTACCATAATTCGATTCTATCAGGAAAGGACCTTTTGAATGTTCAACGTAACTGTTCATCGTATTAAGATTTAAGATTCTACCTTAAAAAATTGCACATCTTCATCAACTCGTCAATTCCCGTGACCTCATGGGCTGCCATGGATCCATCTCAGGCACTTGATGCTCACCGCAACAATTCCTAAGTTCAGTTTGAATATAAGGGTGAGAAGGACGAACCAGGATGATGAAGTTTTGCCGCCAAAAAGAGTGGCTAAGGGGCCGCTTTTGATTTGGACCAATCAAACATTGTGAAGGCTAGTCTGCTATTGTTCGTAGAATGGGTAGGAGATGGATAGAACTATGCGGTAATCGAACCACCCAGTGTCCACCCTTACATGTGATCATAAAGATAGCATCTCTTCATGGCAAAATTAAGAGAGAGAGGTTTAAGAACCAAATTCATAAGCTTTTTGAACGTGTATGAAACCCAGTACTTTCAGAAATTCTTCATGGATGGTTTTTGTTCCACTTCGTATACAAGTTTACAGGGATAATAAACAACAGGGAATTCGTTGCACTGTCTGGTTATCAAACAGTGTTCACTGTGTCAGCAAGGGATCGTAATATGCATCCCAAACCAGCTCTCTCAGTCAGCTTCTCATGAATTCGCAGGCATTGGTCGCATGTGGGTCTATCTCCAGTAGACAAGCCTCTATACAAATACCTGTCAATCATGTAGCAGGCTTACCTTAAAATTGGGCTAAAGAAAATGGGAATAACTAAAACTTTTACCAGAAATGGAGTACTTTTGAGGAAGAAACGTTGAAGACACGTCATACAATATATCGAAGCTTATCTTGAACACAAATAAAAAACTGGTATTTCCAACATCTGGTTATTTACACAGGTTCTGCCTGTATCTCTATGCTTTAGAAGCATTGGCAATGAAATTAGACATACTCATTGGGCCATAAAAAGCTTAACATGTTAGAAAGGTAAGACATACAAGCCGTACGTACGAGCCCTACAAACTCAAATCAACAAGAGTATAGTACATGAATATTCTCATTTTACGCCCCATATAGTTGAGTTTTACCGATAATTATTGCATCTCTCTATTTGAACTATAGTTACTGAGGCGCCTTCTTTTTCTTCTAAAAGAAAGGCGAATCTCGATCTCTTAAAGACTAGGAGGGCCTCCAAATAAAAAGTGTGCAAGTGCAATGAAATCCTCGTGTCCCTGGTTATACAGAGAGAGACAATAAATGCCCACACTTATCCTTGTAAAAATTCCTGATGACCTGTTCACCACATATATCAATGCCATCTCTTACCGTGAAAGCAGATGTGATCCTATACTTTGTCAATTGCCAGTGAATCTTGAGTATTGGCTAGTTGATTTTAAATTTCATCAACTGTACAAATCAGTCCATCGAATAACCATGTTTCACGACAAACAGTAAAACAAATAATCAGGACACTTTCAGATTAGAAGTTTCAGGGGAGAAAAGGAAAGCATTTCACAGATGAAGTCTGAAAGGAGCATAATACGAGAGAGGAAGAGGGGTTTTGATGGTTGGAAATGCGTCCAACAAATTCATGTCAGAACAATGAGGCCAGTGCCAAATAGGTCATGGTTTAAGTGATCTGGGGAGCACATCTGAGGGAAATCAGAGGTTAAATTTGAGGGCATGGGTAATATAGATAGAGTGAGGTTATATCAAATTCAACGTCTTTATGAGTTGACACAAAAGGGGGGAGAAAGCCAATTAAATGTATCTCTCTTTATTCTTTTTAATCAAATGTATGGCTAGACAAGAAGTGCACTTCAGTCTCTTGTGATATATTAAGTTTCACTATAGTTTGACGATCATAACAACAAATCAAACATTCAACAAGATGTATGAGTACTGAGAAGAAAGAGAGAAGAGAAGGAGAAAGAGAATTGAAGAGATAAGAGAGGAAAGCGAAAGAGAAGGGTGGGTTGGGAGAGAAATCTTGGATTTCTATTCAACATCAAAGTTTGTCAATGATGACCCTATAATTAAACCATATAAAGTTTGGCAAGTCTACAATATATAATATCTATTAGGATCTCGATCAAGTTTATTACAAGACTTTTAGTTCAAATTATAATAAAATCCTATCTACACTTTCTACAAATAATCCAGGAATGCATATGAGTAGGGATGGATTTCTTAGACAAAATGTCAAGAGGGGACTTTCCGGAGTCCTCAAGCTCATGTCTTGCTGTAATCCAGGATCACTTCACCCCTATAAATGTCTTGTTTTCTCCTTCAGAAAGAATATTCTTGGAGAGTTTCATTTCCAAAATACAACTGGGTAATATGAAGATTTTATTTTTATGCTGTAAAAATATAGTTGGATGCAACGATGCAAGTTAAAAATATATCTTTGCTAGATAGATTATCTTTCACTTCTCTCAACAATATAAATTGTGCCATGTATATGGGAAAGTCTTCATGGGATCAACTATATAGGATACCAAGGCTGTGCCTGTGCAAAATTTCAGCATGGAGCGCATCCAATATAGAATTCAAGACATGTTCTTCCTACAAATTCAGAGCCCAAAAGATTGATACCCCTATGTTCAACAATAACTAACTGCACAATGTTTATATCACCACATTGACAACATTAATAGCAACACCACCAACAATCACAAAAACAACTGTTACAATGTTAGTCCTATGTCCAGTACAAGTATAATAAAGAAGAGTTGGTGTCCATGTAACAGAACATAATGGTATAATCATTACAACCCCTAGCACACTTGTTAGGAGATGCTAGATATGACATGTAACTCTTTTCATTATATCCACAAGACGAGAACAAAATGGAACTCCACTACCACGAGTGGTTGAAGGCGGCAACCGACTGCAACAAGCTCAGCGGTTGGATTTAGAGAGAATTAAGTTTAGGATCTTTGCCTAATTCTCTTGTGCTTGCAAGGATACAATAACAAGTCTCATAAAATCCTAAACCTACTCTTCTTAGGATTAGTAAACCCTAACTATATGCCCAAAAGTCAATTGATTCAATTAATTCACTTCAATGCACAATGGTTAAACTAGCCCAATAATTGAGCCTAGTAAATTAATCCAACAATTTTAAGATCTTAAAGTAAAAGTGTTTCTATGTGGTGACGACGACATTTTATGTGAGAGTTCCTATAAAGGAGGTTCTGTCAAATAACCTGAGTTAGAGGGAGTAATTGAAAGTTAAGATAGAACCTGATCCTTTCAATTTTAGAAGAATTTCCATTTTTAAACAAATATTGGTGAAAAAATTAGACATGGCACACTTTAAGGATGAACTTGGTAAGCATTACTAATAATAATGACAAACAAATCTTGTATATACTCATTAAGATATGTATTCAATCATCCTCCTCATGCTCGGTTATCGAAACCAATACTTACAGTCAAACACAACCGAAACATTATGATGGGGAATAAAGATATGATTTAGGAGAATTTGGATTCGAAGTAGAATTTGTTTAACATTACATTTCAGTTGTTTAGATTATGTGAGAATTTTTATATTTTGATTAGTTTTGATATGTTAGAAGTTCAGTTAGACTTAAGTTTTCACCCATTAGAGCATCTCCAATAGTGTGTAAAATAGATCGAAATTGAGATTTAGATCTCCAAAGTGACCGGAAACCTCTTCAATGAAAATATGCAAAGAAATGCAAATTGCACTTTCCGGCAGAAGATGTAAAAATTTTAAAAAAAAAAAAGATGCTAATTTACATCTTGAAGCAAATTTTGAATTTAGATCTACCGGCATGTAAATAAGGATGCAAAAGTGATTTTGGAGATATCAATTTACATCCAATTTTACACCACCATTGGAGATTGTCATGTGGAGATCAATTGGGGAAGGAAAGGGGTTCCGAACTAAAACAAAAGAAAGGAGAAGAAGGAAGAAAAGAGGGAGCCAACGGAAATATATGCATTTCAGTTGGGTTTAGTTGTGCGACGTCGTTTTTGTTTAATTGAAATTGTAATAAATTAGTTTAACATTTTGGTTTATTGTTGGAGTAAAACACGATTTTGTAAAAACACTATTAATACAAATGGTGCGAGTTGCTTTTGGGGTTGAATTATGTTATGCAATTTCAGTTAGTAGAGAATTGATTCTTCAATTCATTTTATCTCTCATCTCTTCTCATTTTATCATTATTTTTCCCACCCCCAATTTCTGTTTTTCTTCGTTGAATAGGTTATCAATCATCTGGCTTCAGCTTGTGCAAGTTTCAGAGAGCTGCGGTTGAGGAGCTGAATTTGGAGTTTCAATAGTGACAAATTGGTATTAGAGCGGGCGTTTATACTGGGTATTTGATAATCATGGATACAAGAGCTAAAGTGATAGCTGAACACTTGAAGAAGCTAGATCTCGAGATTTCTGATTTGGGTATCTCGTTCAAGACAGTCACCAGTAGATTGGAAACCAAATTGACCTCCACAGATCAGACACAACAAGTAATGGGGCACCGACAGGAGACTATGGAAGGTACAGCACTAGATATGAATCAGAAATATGAGAAATTAATAGCTATGATAGCTCAAATATCTGTGGATTTAAAGATGGACCAAATAATAGAGTAGAAGATTCTGTAGTTACTGTGAGACCTGGGTTAATGATTTCTACACCTCGGGCTAGCAACACTGAAGGAAAAACTGGTACTAGGGGAGAGTACAAAGGAAATACAAAACTTCTTAAAATCGATTTTCCTCACTTGGAGGAAAAAGGACCCCAAGAACGGCTTAGGAAGGCTAGAAAGTACTTTCAGTTACATCAAGTCCCTGATGAGCTAAGGCTAGGGATAGCAGAGATGTATTTGAAGGGTAAGACAGACATATGGTTTGATGGGTTCATAACCAGCCATCAAGGAGCAGATTGGGATGTGTTTTCTGAGGAATTATGTAAGTGGTTTGCAGCGACCACAGGGGAAGAGGTTGTTGAAACCTTTAGTAAGATCAAACAGTTGGGGACTATCTCTGAATACCAGGATAGGTTTGAAGAGTTGAAAGCACAAGTGATGATTGCACTTCCTCATGTCCCAGAGTCTTACTATGTATCTGTTTTTACTAGTGGATTCGAGGGAGAGATCAAATCCATGGTGAAGATGATGAAGCCAAGTACCCTGTCCAAAGCATTTGAAGTGGCTGCACTCCAAGAGTACGCCATTCAAGCCATCAATAGATTCCAAAAAGCCAGGAACTTCTCTCCAAACAAATGGAGTCCTTATCCTGCCAAACCTCCTGATGAAACCAGAACCAAGGAGCCATGGCCAAAGGCTAACAAAACTCCCAACAACTATAAAACTATCACACCAACTGATTTTCAAATGAAGAGGAATCTCGGGCTATGCTATAAACGTGATGAGAAGTACACTATAGGCCATGTTTGCAAAAATAGATCCATTAATTTTATTTTAGTGGATGAAGAGGAGGACATTGATAAACCAGGGGATAAGAATCTTGAACCTGAAGGGGAATCAGAAGGTGAGGAAGTTATGGAGATTTCAATCAATGCATTGGTTAGAAATCCCTAGCCTAAAACTATTAGAGTTCCAGGAGTGATTAAGGGAAGAAAAATTTCTATCCTCATTGATAGTGGAGCACTCACAGCTTTGTAGATGAGAAACTAGTCAAGGAACTGAATTTAGCTACTGAAGAGTCCAATATGATGGTAGTGAGGGTGGCCAATGGGGATAAACTCGAAAGTAAAGCTGTGTGTCAAACCCTAGTGTGGAGGGTATAGAACTGGGAATTCCAATTTAATCTAAAGACTTTAAAATTAGGGGCAGTGATATGATATTGGGAGTTAACTGGATGAGCCAATTTGGCCCTATTATTTTTGACTTTGGACAGGTTGCATCAAGTTCAAAATTATGACGAGGTAGAATTGAGGAATGAAATACCAACAATCAGACAGATTCCCCCCCCCCCCCCCCCCNATCAGTTCTGTAGGTTAAGAAAAAAGAAGGGTCCTGGAGATTTTGCGTTAAATAGCTTGACCATCAAAGACAAATTTCCTATGCCATTTATCAATGAACTACTGGATGAACTACATGGAGCAAGTTTTTTCTCAAAAATTGGTCTAAGGGCAGGCTATCATCATTCATCAAATTAGGGTCACTGAAAGGGATGTCCACAAGACCACTGTTAAAACTCATCAAGGGCTGTATAAGTTTAAAGTGACGCCCTTTGGCCTCACCAATGCACCAACCATGTTCCAAAGCCTCATGAATGAGATTTTCAAAGACCAGTTGAGGGAGGTATGTCTTGGTGTTTTTGATGATATTCTGGTGTCTAACACTGATCTATCTGCACACTGTCAACATCTTCAATCAGTAATGGAAATCTTGCGGAGGCACCAGCAATATGCCAAGCTATCTAAATGCAATTTTGGGCGAAGTCGAGTACTTTGGCCCTATGTTGCTCGGACTCGGATGCGAGTGTCGGATACGGGTACATATCTAGGAGTCGGATCCTTCTCATTTGAAAAATTAAGATATGGGGATACGGTTAAAAATGATCCGAATTTTAGATACGAGAATAGGAGTACGTCTTACAAAATATTTTTAAAAATGACGAAACAATTATTTTATTTTATTGTAGTATAAGTATTTTTAGTTTTATAATTAATAATATTGAATTTGTGATTTTTAATTACTATATGAAATGTTGACATAAATAAAAATAAAAAAATAAAATTTATCATAAAATTGATTTAAGCAACTGGATTATAATTTTAAATTAATTTAAATTTAAAGTCAAAATATTTTTTTCCCCAAAAATTCAAAGAATAAAATCAATTTCAATGTCTTACATATTATTTAAAAATAATTATAAAGATATAAATTTAAATTTAATACAAAAAAATATAGCATTAAATTATTTTAATTATCAAATAAAAAGTTTACACAAATAAAATATAAAAAATAAAAATTTTAATACAAAAATAAATTTAAATTAAATTGGTTGGATCTTACAATTCATCCCAATAAAAAAATAAAATTTTATCAACTCTATTTTTATAAAACCCATATAAAACATTAAAAAATTGGGTCCACAGCCCATATTAAATTAGGGTTTTCTTCCCCAGCAACTGTGCATCGTCTTCTCTGCATCAACTCCTCTGCCAACAATCGTCTTTTTTTGTCTCTCTCTCCGCCTCCGGAAGTCCTCATCTTCTCCCTTTTGCTGCCGTGTCCAAGTGCCGTGTCGTGTCGACACGGATACTTCTCCATTTCTAGAGAGTCCGAGCAACATAGCTTAGGCCATATTATCAGCCATGGAGGAGTCTCAGCAGATCCCAGTAAAGTAGAAGCTATGCAACTTCGGCTTAAGCCTAAAAACATCAAACAACTGAGAGGCTTCCTTGGGTTGACAGGTTACTACAGAAAATTTGTTAGAGGTTATGGGGTAATAGCAAAACCATTGACAGATATGCTTAAGAAAGACAATTTCCATTGGACAAAAGAAGCCGGTGAAGCATTTAATCAGACAATCAGTTGAAACAAGCCATGAGCTCCACACCTGTATTGTCTTTACCTGATTTCCATAAATCATTTATCATTGAAACCGATGCCTGTCAATGTGGAATTGGGGCTGTGTTGATGCAAGACAGGAAACCATTGGCTTATTTGAGCAAGGACATTGGGATTAGAAATATGGGAATGTCGATTTATGAGAAAGAGTTGCTATCACCGGTAACGGCCGTTAGTAAGTGGAGGCACTATCTGGAGACTGGAGGGCAAACCATTTTATCATCAAGACTGACCATCAGTCTCTTAAATAATTGTTGGAACAAAGAATCACTACTCCCTTCCAACAAAAATGGCTCACCAAGCTATTGGGACTAAGTTATGAGATAATGTACGAAAGGGGAGTTGATAATTTAGTGGCTGATGCCTTATCAAGAAGGCATGAAGGAGAGGTGGAATGTTCTGGCGTTACAATGATGATTCCTACATAGATCCAGGAAGTAACAGAAAGCTATAAGGAGGATACTATGGCTGAGGATAAAATACAGACCTTGCTACTGATCCAAACTTCAAGTACAACAATGGTGTTCTGAAATATAAGAACAGAATCTACATTGGCAAGGGTGGGAAAATTAGATCAAAGGTGATTCAAAATATCCATGGATCTCAAGAAGGGGGTTACTCAGGCATCCACAGCAGTATATATAGAGCCAAACAACATATTTACTGTTCAGGCATGAACCAGGACATCAGAAATGAGGTAATGCAGTGTGAGACTAGCCAAAAGTGTAAGGGAGAACAAACTCTTTATCCTGGATTGCACCAACCCTTACCCTTTCCATTACATGCTTGGAGTCACATAAGCATGGAAGTCATTGAAGGGTTACCTAACTCAGGAAGGAAAGACACTATTTTGGTGGTGGTAGATAGATTTACAAAGAACAGGCACTTCATTTCTATGTCTCACCCATTCACAGAAGTTACAGTTGCTAAGATCTTCTTTGATTCTGTCTTTAAACTGAACGGGTTGCCACAAAGCATTATCTCAATGGAGACAAAGTATTCCCAAGCATATTCTGGCAAGAATTATTCAAATTGATGGGTACACAACTCCACTTGAGCTCAGCCTATCACCCTCAATCAGATGGGCAAACTGAGAGGTTAAATCAGTGTGTAGAGATGTACTTAAGGTGTATGACACATCAGTAGCCCAAACAGTGGGGAAAATGGCTATCTCTTGCAGAATGGTGGTACAATACCACCTTTCACTCCTCCATTAGGATGACTCATTTTGAAGGCCTGTATGGAACCAAATCACCACAGCTCTTATTGGGTCCATATCAGCAATTCAACATGGCTTCAGTGGAAGAATGGCTACAGCAAAGGTATAAATTAAACCAGCAACTGAAAGAAAACCTCTCACAGGCAAGTGCTAGAATGAAACTCTTTGCTGATAAGAAGAGGACTGAGAGGTCATTTGAAGAATGAGAACTCCTGAAGCTCCAACCCTACAAGCAACAATCCGTGGAAAATAGACAGAATCATAAACTTGGTGCAAAGTATTTTGGTCCCTCAGATTGTCAAGAAAATAGGGACAATGGCTTATCAGTTAGCGCTCCCTGCTACCTCAAAGATTCATCCAGTCTTTCATGTTTCGTTATTGAAGAAGAAGTTGGGTGACAGGGCAATGGCGGTTCTTCAGTTGCCTGACGAAGGTCAGACTAAGCTACCAGCACATCATCCACTGTCCATCCTAGAATCTAGAACTGTTACGCGCAGAAATGGTACCACCGTTCAGTGGCTCATTCAGTGGTCAGATTCTACTCCAGAGCGTGCAACTTGGGAAGATGCAAACTGGATCAAATTGTATTTTCCTCTCTGTGGATCTTGGGGGCAAGATCAAGGTAAGGGGGAGGGTTGTCATGTGGAGAGCAATTGGGGAAGGAAAGGATTCTGAACTAGAAGAAAGAAAGGAGAAGAAGAAGCCAATGGAAATATCTGAATTTTAGTTGGGATTAGTTGTGCGACGTCATTTTGGTTTAATTGAAATTGTAATAAATTAGTTTAACGTTTTGGTTTATTGCTGGAGTAAAACACTATTGATACAAATGATGCGAGTTGCTTTTGGGGTTGAATTATGTTATGCAATTTTAGTTAGTAGTGAATTGATTCTTCAATTTATTTTATCTCTCATCTCTTCTCATTTTATCATCATTTTTCCCACACCCAATTTCTGTTTTTCTTCGTTGAATAGGTTATCAATAAGCTGGTTTCAGCTGGGGCAATTCAGAGAGTTGTGGTTAAGGAGGGGCTGAATTTGGAGTTCGAACCGTGACAAAGATGCTCTTGAAAGGGGCCTAGGATTTCAATGTATTCAGATTATTGATTATTGATAGTCCAAATTCTTTTTCGCTATTTAATTTTCTACCCATTCCTCTCTTTTTGTCTCGTCTCCTCTTCTTCTCTCTATTTCTCTCTGATTCTTCTTTGTTATTCTCTTTTATGTTAGGTTACATCACAGTGATTAATGATTATTAATCAAGAATAGTTACTCTTAGTCCCCAGATTTCATAAGTGCTACAACCCAACGCTAAAAGCTTCCAAGAACAAATGACAACCTTTAATCCTAACGTCCATTGCTCAAAAATTCCTCGTACAGAGTCGAAATCTGATATTATTACAGAAGTAAAAACAGATTATTTAAATCGGCTTCTACCTTAAACCAAAATATTTTCCAGAAATGTTCTGTCGCAGTTAGTAATATCTTTGCATTTGGAATAATGTAATGCAGAAAATCACTTAGAAAAGAACTCTCTCTACTGGGAGAAAACAGAATTATAGACCCAGAAAATTAGACAATGCAAATTGCAAAAAACAATTTTCATCATTAAAACATGGCGGAAAAAAGAAAGGGAAACGCAAGTTCGACTTACTTCATGAGAATATCAAAATACTCGGGATCAAGATAGGAGAACAAGCTATCCACATCTTTTATTGCCATTATTGCTCTATGCACCACTATCCAATTTGCAGACTAGAAAAAAAATCGCAGAAAAAAAAATTTAACATCACTTGATCCCAGATCAAAGTCAAACCAAGAAAAATCATAACCCAGATTTCAACAATTACAAATCCAAAATACAATACGCAGATATAGAATTTGACATCTGACCTTACAGCGCTCGTCTTTGGTATTGGGAGGGGAGCCTTCCAGGGCTGTCTTTAAAGCCTCCACGGGTTTATGCCTATAAAAAAAAGCAATCAGTTACTCTCTTTTAAGAAAAAATGAACTGAGAGCGTGCACAATGATCAAGAAATACTGTTTGAGTAAGCTTTCAATTTTGCGGGATTTATGTTCGATTCTGGTGATAATGGCTTCTGCGTTATCGGCTTCCACAAATTCGGCCATTTGTTTATTCTCAAGAGCGACAGTGAATCACAACGTGATCTGGGTCTTAAACATTGACGGCGTATGCTGCTTGTTTGAGCAAAGAACAGCCGCTCCTTTGCTTTGCATTTCCTTGGTAATACATTTGGTGTAGATAAAAATCATTTTTTTTATTAAATTTTGATAAAAATTGACAAAAAATTTTAATAGATCTCAAAATTCTCATGTTTTGATGAACAGTACACTATTACATAGCTCACATTAGCAATGTTTTAAAACTCAGATTCCGCGTCGACCCGAAAAGACAAGGGTCAAGGGTTAAATGATCGAATCGAGATCAAATAGGGATCTAACCGAATAGCTAAAAAAAGATAAATAAAAATCTTTTTAATCAGAAAACAATACTAGATAATAGCATAAATTTTGTTAATTGAAATATTCAAAAAGTTTTTAATTTTTTATTGATCAAAGTAAGATATAAAAATAATTAATTAACTCGATAAAATAAATAATAAAAAAATACAAAGACCAGGGAAGAGAGTTGTATTAGAGAAGAACAAGGAACAAGGGGTGGTAGTGAAGTAAATTACCTCGATGCTAAAGCAATCCACAGTGTACAATGTGAGCCCAACCATTTTACTTGTTCGGTGTGAGAAAGGAAAACACTCGAACCATAGAGTTTGTTATCGGATTTCCTCGTTGACATATAGAATTAGAAAATTAATAAGCCCGATATTGAAATTAATAAATTATATGTAAGAACCAAAGCATTTCGTGATTAATCAAAGCCTTTCCTTGTAGATGTGAAGATAGTTTAATGCCATCACGTCTCAAGGAAGGTTGTCTTAATAATCAAGCTGCTTTAAAGTTGGCTGATCGATGGCCCAATAGTTGAGGGGTTACGTTACCTCCCAACTTTTGGTCAACTTCAATTTTTTTTTTTTTTTTACTATCATTAAATTTTCTATATTTTGTTTCAATTTTTAAAATCATTATGAAATGTCAAACAAAGTCAAAATATTACGTACTTAATACCATTTCGAAGTGCTCATAACCTAGTTTTCTACGTCGTTAATGATGTGCGAAACGGTCAACCCTAACAAATGTTACAACTTATCAAAATAAGTCATTCCAAACTAGTATTGAAAATTTCTATAACATGATCCTTTAAAAATTTTCCAACGATCGTACGCTAATCGAATTTATAAATCACTTACATAATCTCGAAACTTGTTTCAAGAACTACATTACAAACATATCAAACGGTTCAAACAGATATTAAAAATACTAACTGTGCGTCTTAAAAGAGACGCCTAACTCGTCTTTTCTTTAAAAAATTTCAATTATTTCATTAACATTTACTATTTTTGTGCAACAAATTTCTTAATATAATTTTATTAGGAAATTTTACATGGGGTATGATATTAAAATAAAAAATCGAAATTTTACATTTGAAAAAGTCATACCACATATAAATTTACACGGGATTTTTTTTTTTTTTTTGGATATATGGTTTCAAATGTAAAATTCATCTCAACTTTTTTACTAGTTTGATTATATCCCCTAACTCAAAATTTATCGCAACTTTTTTACAAATTTGATTGTGCTTCTAACTTAAAATGTCTGTTTCTGCTACTGGAGAAGAACAAAAGTTAATGACTACAAAATTTTTTTAAAAAATGAACTTTGATTAATTATAACGTTGTTAGGATTGGGATACTTATCTAATAACTTCATACTTGTTCTCAACTTCATACAAGAATGTGGTTGAACACTATTTGTTTGCACTTGTTGAGGTTCTTGATGTTATGGAAATGTTTTCATGGGGTAAAGAATTGTTTGATTGGTCGATAACATTTTTCAAAGAGGGATTTATTCGCAAAAATCCCCACTACAGGCTCAAAGGATTTCCAGTTGCATTCCAAGTGTAGATCTATGAGTGTACTTTGAGATTAAATGGACAAAAGTTTAATGATGCGGGCGAAGTATCCTCATGTCTTGAACTGGAGATCACATAGGCAGCCGTCTAGGGCTAAGCTTGAAGAAGATGTATTCTCTGCTCATGATGTAATTGTAATATGTTTCAAGTTCATTCATGGTGTAATATATAATAACAGACCACAAGACACATGTCACAAATGACATAGTTCTTTACACAGACCATGGTTCATTTTAAACAGATCACACTTCATTCTACACATGTCAGGGGATACAAATCACAAGTGACAGAGTTTATACACCTAATCACAATGTTTTTACCATTCACGCGTTGCAATCACATACACGATGCGTTAGTCACAGTTAATGCATATTACTTCTCAATAAGTAAATTGTATCCGATAAGTGTTCTTTATTTTGTTGGAACAACTTCAAATGAATGACATCAATCCTACAGACTTGGAGATGATGATCCCGTATATGAAGGTTTTCCATATACCATTCCACGACAACCACATCTAGCATGTGGAGTACATTTAAAGGAGTCATGTATTCCAAGCACTAGTTTAAATGTTCTACCATCAGTTAAAAAATCCAAAACATTGATTTTAATGATTACTAATGGGCGATTAGGACATTCTAGAGACATCGAGGACGACGATGACGACGATTATGTTGATCTTCCTCCAATAAGGCAAAGAACTTCGGCTTTCATACAATCTAATCTGGAGCCGCGGGCAACACCCTTCATTCTCCAACGAAGCCTTGGTAGAAAATGTTCAACTCTTTATATTAATCATTACTCTAATTTATTTCCACATGCTAAAGGTGGTTGGGAAATTAAGAAGGGAATTCAATGTGTAAATATCTGAACTCCAACCGGAGAATAAAGTTCTGAATTTTTCGTTCAATGATTTCAAGTCATAAATATCACGTTGAATGTAGAACAGAAAAAGAAGAATCAAATAATTCGCATGCAAGGCGAAATTCTATGTGACGTCAAAATCTGTCACTATACTAATTTCAAGTTCTATGGAACAAATTTTGAAAAAAATTAGTGAGAATTCCCTAGTTAATACAGTTGGAGATTTTGAAAAGCTTGAGGAAGTAATTGAATTTTACAATATTTAGTAACTATCAATAGTTATATTTTCACATTTCAAATTTGTTCGGTTAAAATTGTGGAAGAAACTATGGATAGGAAAGGTAAGAGTAAGATAGACCCTCACGATAATATTGAGTTTCCATACATTCTTCAAACATTATCATTTAATTTGGGTGTTGGAACTCCTCAACCTGCGCTCTTTGATCTCTTCAAATCTAAGGAAGTTCAAAGTACATGAACATAGTAATATCTGATATACTGAAGGAAACTGAATCTACTGATAAAAAGGTACTCATAAATCCATTTGCATAGACAATTATCATTTACATCGTAGGTCACAAATGACATTTTGGTCACAAGTTAACAGATCACACATGTCACAAATGGCTTGCCAAACAAAGTCTTTGTTATCAGATGTATGTGGCCATCTAAATTATGTAGGAAAGTTTTGTTCTCCACATATAGATCACATCATCAGATACTCTAACACGTATCAGATGAACACAATTACATGACATATTTACTACTGTAATAATACGCAAGGATCACCACTATCCGTACCAACTTTCGAATTGCCAGTTAAAAGGGTTTTCAGACCAGCGCAAATACTTCAATCTCCGTTTGTTGCCGGTGAAGGGAAAATATTCAAACATTTAGATAGTGCTGCAGTTTTCTAAATTTACATTCACCGTGCCGAAGATGTTGACATCGCTACATTTCAGAGTTGGTTCCGAAAAGGATCCAAACCAAATAATAAGTATGAATTTTTTATTTCTATGAACGCTGATCTAGAATTTTGTGTTCGAATTATCTATAGGTCATTCTTTTGTTTACAGAACAAAAGTTTAATGATGCTGACAATGTTATTAATCCCTGTTCTGATTGGTTCATCGTAGTAGGACACAAAACTTGGTTCCATAGGCTTGTCTATTCAGAGTAGTCATTGAGTAGCACGATTATGTGTCAAAATAAAATGCAATGATATCACATTTCACATGCACATGTTACATTTCAAATGGTGTAAGACACAAACATGTGACTCTATATTACTGACCAATGGTCACAAGTCATATACACTTGTCACAATTCATATACAGTTGGTCACATTTCATTGGTAATGGTTCGCAGAACAAACTACATCTTTCAATTCCAAAATTGTGTTACCTTGTATGACTTCATGCTAATGTTTCATCATTTTATTTGTGACAGCATATGGATTTCATTTTCTATTACATTCACCAGTTAGAGCGATGTAAAGAGAATGTTAAGTACAAGCTACAACAATAGACTCATGTTTTCAGATGAAGCTCAAAAATATATATTCTAAATTCAAGAAAGATCCTAATGTATTGCTATCAGAGTCTACCCTGATTGATGTCATTACAACTGGACGACTACCGTTGAGCTCTCCCTTGGTCGATGTGGACTTCGTGGTCATACGAATTCTGTCGACAAATAAAGCACGATGGATGCTTGATATGCTTGAATTTAGAAATCATATATTAAATGTATTCAATTCTGCTGGTAAGATCTACCGAAACTCCTGAGTTCGTACTGAGATTGAACCATTCTTGAAAATTCTCCCCCACCTCATGAATGTTGTTGGACTCTAAAAAAATCATTGATTATCATGAAGATGATTGCATGGATTTGAGGGTGATGATTGATAGTAGCCTCTCGTAACAACAGAATGGGTATATCTATGACATTTTAACATTGTTTAAAACAAACAACTAAGTTTCATTCCTAATAATTTGTTTTTTGTTGTTTTTCATCCAAAATTGCAGCATCTTCGTAGTAAAACCTACTCCATGATGATAGATATTCTATCCCAAAGAACTTTGATGATGGCATAGCTGCATTGCTATATAAACATCGGGAGATTATGAAACCTACAAAACGGGGAAAGCCTACAAAGGAAGAAGAGATTGTCGTTGATTGATAGTTGAGATGTCACAATATGTAGAAGAGAACTGTA